TACATTTACTCCTTGAGCTTATTGTGACTTGACCTTTTGCTTTTCCATGCACGGACTCCCTGTCTCTACTACATACTTCGCAAATCAAGGGAGAGCCCTACAAACGTTACAGAAGGAAGGGAATGGCTGGAGGACAACGACACCATGTTCTTCTTCCTTCTGCAAGACATCTGACCTGTTCTTGTGAGAAGAATCCCAGGAACAACACATGCTCTCTCAGTCTCCAGCTGGATCGATTCTGAGTGTTCTCAAGCCCAACCAATGATTGAGGGGGCATCGTCAATCTCTTGCTGCAATCATCAAGGATTATTTGTCATGTGTACACTGACCTCTTTGGAATTTCATCATGCAGAGTGCACTTGCTTGTCTTTGCTTTCATTATAGTTACACACAATAACTCACACCTTTGCACTCATTTTCCAAAAATTTGTAGGACACCATTATTTGCTGCCTCCTATAGCTAGGCATTTCATCCTCTGCATCTGGAGACAAGACCAGCTTCAGGGACATACAACCTGCACAGTTACACAGGACCCCACACTCAGAAGGACCCCACACTTGGTTTCATCCTCTGCGGCTGCCATCTTGAAAGGCTTAACAGTTTTTTCAACAAGGGCACTGCATTTTCATTTTGCACTGAGCCCTGCAAATTATGTAGTCGATCCTGTCTACGAGACTGCTGCAAGGTGAATTTCTATCAAGCCCTGTTTTTACACCTGGGATGGGAGCCATTACAAACTGGTTCTGAGTACAGCTTTTAGTCCCAGTGATCATTTTCATTGCCATTCACTTGGCAGGGTGACTATTACAAACCTAAAAGTTCAAGAAGCTCAAAAATACTTTTGACATTTGATTACAGGTAACTGCTGTGACCAAAAGTTAGGGTTTATCCTTGGCCATCCTTTATCATCCTGTTACCACAGGTACAGACAGGCTCCTGCTCCTTCAAAGCTCCTTCATTTATAAACAATACTACCCACCCCCTAGCCCAAACACTGATTCATACGGTTTCCAATTCCATGAACTTAATGTGTTACACAAAGTTTAACATTTTCTTAGTATAATTTGATTAAGGATGTGCAGAGCTGCATCAGATGTAATAAAAGTCAAGCCCTGTAATTTCAATTATTAAATGCTTGTACCAAAGCCTGTACCTGAGCAGTTCGGGGGCTCATATTTGAATTGCAAAAGTAGCAACTGAATGTCCAGAAAGCAGGGAACATATCTAAACAAACAGTTTTCTTAGCTGTGAGAGATTTGAAAAGGGTCTCCTCAAGGTGAGGGGCAAAAGGGGTCTGCAAACTATGCATTTACCTGGGGACATCCCATCACACACCTCAAGTCATTCCTCAAATTGTGATTGTCATTTTCTACCTATCCCCATTGGATCCTGACACAGCATTGCCACACTTCCTAACATAACAACTGGCCACTCGCTCTCCAGAAGCCTGAGATCAAAAGTGTGTCTCACCACATATCTGTTGGCTGGGATTAGAACATTCTCTCATATAGATCTCTTCAAGACAATGCAGAAACTCAATTGTCTGTGTGTGTGCATGTGTGTTGTGTGTAGGGAAGAAAGTTGGTGGAGGATGGTAAAGTGACAACTTGTCCTTATTTACCATGCCTACATGATGAGACACACCTTTTCATTTTCCTCTTGCTCTTCCTAGAGTCATGTCTAGAGTCTGGGTTTCAAGACCTAAGGAATATTAATTTAATAGCCTCCCCCAAATTCACATGAATTTCAAATCAATCACGTAATCCAGCTGCAACTGTACAGTGTGCAACAGAAATCCTGGACAGAACTGGCTGAGGCCAAGCAGATATGCACGGGAACAGGCAGCCACTGTCTCATTCAGCATCCACAATAGGACAAACTTCCTGAAAGTAACCATTCCTTCACCTGCAGAAAATCTATTGGGTGGCTGTGAATTTAACTGCAGGTTTCACTGCAGCTTTTGTGATTACTTTTAATGACAACAACTGCAATCACACTTGCACCTACCTAATACATCACAGTCCATCAAACTATATATTCACAGCACTCAAAACATTAAGTGCCACTTGACTTCTGTAAAAATAAACAACTTTTTGGCCCTCCCTTAGACACCTGGACAACATTTGCTCTGCAAGTATGTTCTGATCCCCACCCTTATTATGGTGTTCATGCAACTGGGAAAACAGTAACAAATTTCTTACTTCGGAACGTTTACCTCTCCACATTCAGAAATTCTGCATTTTTTTCTAATTCATCAGTGGGATATACTAGTCTGTAAACCGTTGCCCTGGAAATCCTGAAGCTATTCTTATTGCTCACTCTCCCCATCTAAATAGAGCCTATGGCTTATTTCCTTCAGCAAACTTTACTGAACAGGCTGGCATTTTCCAGACGGGTAATACATTCTTCCACTCTCTCCCTCCCATTTTCAAAATTTGATAGTTGCATATTTCATTTGCTTCTTTAATAAATATTTATCATGCACTTTGTGGTGGACACTAAAGGGTAGAGATATGCTCTAGTCCCTGCCTGCAAGGTATCCACCGTCTGTCTGAATGAGGTCTTCGAGTGGCTATGAGCTCCTTGAAACTTAAGCCCCCAGCCTGTGCCTCTGCCTTGTTCCAAACTCAAATTTGTTGACTAAATGCACTGGGTAAACTTTATTTTATAAACACAGCTTCCTGATTAACAAAAGCATTCCAAAGTCAAGGGGTAAGTCAGGCGTACTATCAACTGAGCAGAATTTGAAAACGAAAATCACTCTGACAACCTGCTCTAAAGAATATTTTCTCCTGCTGACGGACATATTGCCAGCTTGGGAAATATGAAAAGATCTCTTTCATATTTGCTGCCTCAAAAATGGTCACAGGCTCTGTTGCAATTTGTCATAGCGCAGGTCTGCTTGCACTAGGGGCTGACAGAAGCTTGTTAACGCCAAAAATGTGTCTCTCTCCTTCTCAAACCTTCGGAAGCTGAATGTCACTGATATGACTATCTCAGCCCTTAGTGGGAACAACACCTGTCTCACTTTCCTAGAAGGCAGCTAGGTACAAATCTCCAGGAGAAACAATTCACCTTTTCAAATTACAGAGCACAGGAGTGGCAGGGTGGAGAGGATGCAGCTGCTACAAAACAAGTGGATTACGAACGGAAACCCTGTTCAAACAGAGCAAGCAGAGGATCTGTTGGTGTTTAGCTTAAAATTTCATGTGAGCAGAGACCACAAATGCTCTGGCAGCTGCAAAGACTCTGTCTAGCATCTAATATTGTTTTAAATACAAGATCCAAAAACATCATCATTCTACTTTAACACAGTCCAAGTCCTTAGATATGCTGAAAGAAGAATGAATTCAACTGCTTAAAAATCCTTCACTCAACAACTAGGCATGAATTTCACTGTGATTGATAAGAGCTGATTCTAATGCCACACAAAATTTGTTTATAAATGGCTATTCAGGATGGTTGCTTTTCAGTGCTACCCTGCTAAATCTGTTTCATCGATAGTCATCCAACATTAATATTTATTTTGTTCATTTAATTTTAAAGTATTCTTAAATTAAAGCTATTACAAATATTGGACTGCTGTTAAAGAAAATTCAGCATAGGCACTACCACAAAAATATGGAAAATATGATTAATGTAGTATAGCTGTAGTCTGGCTTCAGAAACATAATACCAAAAACTATTTTAGTAAATTAAGAAATATCCATTCTAGATTGTGTTGTAAAATCTATTTCTAAATACACTTCTTTTTAAACCTCTATGCTTCTTTATCTTGGAATTCTTACCAATGTAGTTAGATTTCACATCGCAATGGCAATTATACTTAGAATCATATGTTAAAATATTCCCCACGTACATACTATTTTTATCACTTTTTCCCTGAAATTCTCAGCATTAACCTATACATATTGGCTTTCAAAAATCTCATAAAAAATTATAGTAAAACCATGAATTTGTACTGTATTTACTGTAATATACAACCACACTGTCTGTTGATCCCATTTGGGTTTTATAATTTCTTCTCATAGTATAACATTCTGCAGAATGTTTCAGTACCAAATGGGTTCAGGACACAACAACATCATAACCACTACTGGAAATATTAATGGTTTTCTCCTTGGAAAATACCAAATTTCAAAATCCTACATACTAGTTCATTTTCATTTCCTCTTTACCACAATTCATTTTCATATCTAAAAGAAGCTCTTGGCTGAAGCCTTATACTGTCTGTAGCATGTTAGTTTCTTTGCAAATTTACTTTTAGGAAACATGATAAAGAAAAGCAACATATTCCACAGGCATCCCAAGTAAAGCGTCATAAATTCATATTCTCTTCCACATTCATTTAAATGGGAAGCAAGGAAGAAGAGGGAAAGCCCTTACAGTTCTCAGATGAAACTTTGCTACCTTCAGCCACCTCCACATACTGTGTCAGAGTCAGAAAAACACTCCAGATACTTCTGTCACTTTGCTAACCAAAGAAGCTGCTACCATTGCCAGCAATATGTTCATGCTACTTCCTGAGGTCTGTGTTCTAATCATCAGAACTTTCATAAATTACGTACTTAAAAAAAAAAAAAATCCTTCTTCTGAACCAACCTCAGGGCCAAAACATTAGTCTCTGCTTCAAGGTTCCCCATCGTAACAGAAGAGGAATGAAAAGCAAATGCCTTCAAGTCCTGAAGGGGTTGCTTCTTCCTTTCTGTGTTCAAAGTTGAAGAAATTAGTATGTGCCTTTTCTTCCACTGCCGTTTGGTTTCTGCCTTTAGAATTCAAAGATTTGTTTCATTTCTGGGCACCTGACAGGCTGAGATTTACATGTGAGAAAACATCCCCCAGATTATTACCAAGGAGGCAAAAATTCCCCCCACTCAGTTTAGCTGCCTTTCAGGAAAGAGACTGGAAAAAGGGAAATGAGAGAGGGGAAGGAGATTCTATCTGAAGCTGAGGACAAGTTATACAGATGAATCCAAAGTAATGCAGGCAAATATAAAAAAAAAAGAATATTATTTATTATCTTCTTTATTAATACTCACATGTAACCTCTGCTTTTTACACAAAAGTCTACTTTAGAAGAAAGCCTCCTCTGCTTATCATGCCCAATGGGGCTTTTTGTTCCTGGACCACTTCCCCTTTCTCCACCCCCACCCCCACATCCACATCCAAATTACTCTTACATGTTCACAGATACCACGAAAATTTTGTAAACAAGATTTGGGTTACTGGAACTTGATTTCATGAGCATCCCACTTCAAAATGGAAGGCAGGTAGGGGACAGGGTAAGAAACAGGAGAAACAGGATGGGAGAAGGCAAAGGAAAGAAGAGGGGCACCTGGTCAGAACGTTCAAGTCTTGCCTTTTCTGAGGGGTGTGTGTGTCTGTGTGTTGTGGCTGTTCCTTGAAATGCACTGACTCAAAACATTGACAGCAAGTGTCTGTGTGGTTATGTATGGATCTATAATAGACTATGCGGGTTTTCTCCATTTGAGTCTGAACTGTGTTTGTTTAAACACACTACAATCCTCTTTATAGGTATTACCACAGGGCATCAGGTCTCCCAGGAACCCCTTTCAGAGACGGGGCTTCCGAAGCAGGGTCTTGCTCAGGTCTTTGACCTCTTCAGGGCTGTTAACCCGCTCATAGCCCAGGACGGCCATGGGCTGGTAACAAAACTCCTCCACTTGTTTGATCTGCTGGAAGGTGAGGGCGGTCCGCCAGGCGTTGGCGGCCTGCGTGGCGTTGCGTGCAGATACCACGAAAGGCTTGGAGGAGGAGCCCGAGCCACTGGTCATGTTGAGGGCAAACTGCTCCATTTCGGGGCTCACCAACAGTCCCACAAAATCGTACACTCTCCGTAGTGTCTTGACGGGGTCTCCCACCAGGTCCTCGTACCGCACCACCAAGTAGTGGCCCTGCAGCCAGTCGGGGGGCTGCAGGGCTGTCTGCAGCGTCTTAGCCATGCTATTGCAGATGACCTCCATAGCGCCCAGAGCATGGTAGTCAGCCGGGCCGCCCACACCCTCCTTCTTGGCTCCAAGCTTGTGGCCCGCGGCCTCCAGGAAAGGCATGCGGTGAGCTCGTGGGTCTCGGCTGCGCACCACCTGTAGGCTCTCACGGATGAGGCCATGACGCGAGCGGATGCGTGAGCTCGCCACTGCACGAGGATCACGCACCAGGTGGATGACCTTGAGGTCCAGGGCCGGGTCTCGTAGCAGTGGTGCCAACACCGCCACATCGAAGACGCGCACACCCTTGATAACTAGTGTGTGGTACTTGCGGCACTCCTCCTCGAAACGCGCCAAGCGCTGCGGCGGGCACTTCTTGCACACGCGGTCGTCCACCAACCCCACGACCTCCTTGCGGTAGGCGGGGCAGAGTGGCGACGAGCACACCACCTTGTTGGTGGCTGCGCCAAAGATGCCCAGCGTGGTGAGGTTGCGCCCCCCGCTGCCCGCGGGGCTATACAGCTGGAAGACAGAGAGGTCGCAGCGATACAGAGCGCTCAGCATGTCCCGCGCTGCCCCCTGCAGGGAAACAGCGTCTCCTGGATATAGTTTTTGCCATACATGCCACACTGGCTCGTAGAGAAAGAACACCTCGGGATTCTGGTTGAACAGCTCGCCAAAGAACGACGAACCCGAGCGCCACGTGGTGAACACGTACACCAGCTGCCGCTTGTCCCCGACGCCCCCGGTGCCCCGAGTGCCATTGCCCGGAGGACCTGCAACCCCTGCCATCCCTCCTGCAGCTGCAGGAGCGGCCCCGACGGCGGCAGCAGGAGGGCGGTAAGGAGTGCGGAGGTCCAAGTGGGTATGAGTGCGGGGCAGAACAGCCGGAGGCGGTCCCGGGCGCCCCCAGCTGCCTCCAGCTGCCCCCGCTGCGGCACCCAGAGGCCCGTCGGGGTTGCACTGCTGCAGCGGCTCCTTGTGCCACTTGTAGTCCAGGAGGTTGAGCATGGTGAGCACCAGCAGCAGTGCATAGCCCGCACACAGCACCAGCGCCTTCCTGCGGAACACCTTCATTCCGAGAGGGGACGCGGGCCAGCGGCGTCCTGGGCGCCGGGGCCACTGCGGGAGCAGGGCACGCGGCGCAGCTGCAGGCGCAGCCTGGAGCAGCTGGGGGAGCGCGCCTGGGGGCAGAGCTCGCGGCACGCTGCGGCTCATCACAGGCACAATCCGGGCCGGCAGCGCGGCGGAGGCAGCCCCGCAGCCCGGGAAGGGGACGTAGAGGACTGGCTGCGGGCGCCGGGACTCGGGCCGCGACTCCGAGGCGGGCGCGGCGGCTGGTCCCCAGCGCCCAAAGCTGACTCTCCCATGGCAGCGGCTCCGGGAAGGACCTGCGAGGGGAAGCAGAGTGAGAGAGCGCGCCCCAATTTCCCTCCCAGCCTCCTCCTAAGTAACGCCCACCCTTGGTTCAGCCCGGCTCCTCCGCTCACCTGGAGCCAGCGGCACTGGATCACCGCCCCGCAGACTGTCAGGCTGTCACTCGTCCCTCGATTTCGCCCTCTCTCGCTTTCGCTGGGGGTCCCCGCGCCTTTGCGGGGCCGTGAGACTCAGCCGACTTATCCCTGAGCAGAGTTTCCCGGCAGCGGGTGCCCTGCAGCTCTGGAAGAAAAACTTTCCCCCAGCCCGGAGCCCTGCACCGCGCTCCACCGAACCCAGCGCGACCCGGCTCCAGCGACGTCTCCTCCGCTCTCTTGGGACCGCAGCTTCCTGCCTCGCTCAGGAGAACGAAGCTGGCTGGGGGCGGCTCATAGGGGACCCAGCTCCCGGCATAGCGGCGTAACCCTTCTTGCTTTTGGCCTCCACGGGACGAATTTTCCCATCTCTCCAGCGGCGGTGGACCCGGCACAGCGCAATCCCGCAGCGGCGGCGGCAGCGGCTGCTTCCATCAGCCGGAGGATGCCCGGGCAGGCAGCACAGGCAACCCCCGCCGCTCTGCAGCCTCCGACTGGCCCAAAGGACCCTGAACACACAGCTCTAGGTAAGGGAACCCAGGTCTGCAGCACGGCCCGCCCCGCCCCGCCCCGCCCCGCCCCCGGTACCAGCAGCTCCTGGCCAGCGAGGTATGTAAGCAGAGAAAGACCCCGCCGCCGCCGCCACCGCCGCGCGAAAGCGGCGCCCAGGAGGATGCTGCTACCCGACTCCCCCTACGCCCGGCGCCCGCAACGCGCTCGGGCCAGCCTCTGTGCGGCTCCTGCCAGCCGGCGCCCGGTTGGTGCGCGCCGCCGTCTATCGCCGCGGCTCCTCCCCTCCGCCGCTCAGCCCTCCCACTTCTCCGGCCCCGCCCCCGCCCCCAACGCCGCGCCGGCTCCCACCGCCGCCCCTCGGGGTCTGGAGACGCGACCCGTTTTACCGCGAGGCACTGGGGTCGCGGCCCACGGGTCCGCGGGCGTAGCTCTCTGCGCGCAAAGCGCTGGGATGCGAACGCGGGATTCGCAGCGCGTCGGTGCCGAGAGCTGCCAGAGACTCGGATTCTGCGTGCAGCTGCCGGACTCGGCCTCATGTTTTTGCTCTCAGAAAGAGTTGGTGATAAAGTTTGGGCAGAAATCCCCCGTCGGCCGTCAGCTCCACGCTTCCCTCGGGGCCAAAGCTGCCAGTCTCTCCGAGCACTGAGGACACCCCCGCGCCCCGGAGCAGTGGGAAGAAGCGGAGCGCTGTTCCCTGGCTTCCGACACCCAGCCCGCCCTCTCTAGCGGGTCTGTAGCTGCTTTTTCTCGGAGGAAGTAATAAATCTTGCTGACCTTGGGGGTCAGAGGAGACGCTTCAGTTTTCCGGAAGGGTGTGCCGGCGGGGCGTCTTCCCGCTTTACTGGACATCTGGCTGGGGTGCTCTCGTTTCACTGCGCCCCCAGCAGATACTCCGCATTTCCGCTCGTGGTGCTGCGTCCACTGTGATTGACGTCCTCTGGAATTGGGGTGATGGGGGAGGGGAATGCCGTGTTCTAATTTGCAGTAAAATACTTGTCCCGCTTCTAGGTTTTGTAGATGAGATCAAAGAACTTGACCCCAAAGGAAACACCATTATTGAAAGAAAATCATTTTTCAGTTGCTTTGGGTTTAAGTATTTTCGTTTAAGGTTATGAGGAAAAGCTTCTCTCCACCCCCCATTCCCCACATCCCTCCCCAGGAACACTAAGCTGTAGCCTCAACTTCATCAGTAGAATGCGGACAGTTATAACAGCCTCCGGAGATTGAACGGTGGTTGAGTATCAGAGCGCGCACACGGAAGATTAGACCTCAGTTCAGGCCTCCAAGTGCCGAAAAGGTAATCGCTGCGGGTCCTGAGGCTCAGCGCCCGCTGATAAACAGCACTCGCTGATCTGGAGGAGTTTTGTTGCCTCCTGTCCTGAAGTTTTTAGAAATTTATCAAAGTTAATGCACAATTATCTTTGTACCATTTTGGGCAGATTTTTCTGCCAGACGACTCTTCTGAAATTAAAATATTGCTGTTTGCGCCATTATTCTTCCCTGAGTCTTACAGAATCCCTTGAGTACAAAGACTTGAAAAGTGACTGCTGGTTTTCCATGGGTTTTTCACTCTTTTTACGGATTTAGTTTCAGGGGAGAAAAATGTTCAAAGAACTTGATTTATCCTTGTTTTCCAGAAAAAAATTCATAATGTCACGAGTAAAGTTCAGCTAATTTTTTCTCCCAGGGAGGGGGGATTGGGACAGGGACAGTAGAGCTCAAATTTTATATTCAGCTTTCTCAAATAGGTTATGAGGAATAGGTTATGAGGAAAAGCTTCTCTCTCCACCTCTCTTCACTCCATCTCTCCCTCCCCAAGAACGCTAAGCCGTAGCTTCAACTTCATCTGTATAATGGGCACAGCTGTAACAGCCTCCAGAGATTGAGTAGTTGAGTATCAGAGGGCGCACACAGCATTGCCTTTGGCAGTGGGTCGAAACAGAGGCAACAATCCCTGTTAACAGATGAAGGTGGGCCAGGCATAGTGGCTCACGTCTGTAATCCCAGCATTTTGGGAGGCAGCGGCAGGCAGATCACCTGAGGTCAGGAGTTCGAGACCAGCCTGACCAATATGAGGAAACGTAGTCTCTACTAAAAATACAAAAATTAGCCAGGCGTGGCGGCATGTGCCTGTAATCCCAGCTACTGGGGAGGCTGTGACAGGAGAATGGCTTGAACCCAGGAGGCAGAGGTTGCAGTGAGCCGAGACCTGCCATTGCACTCCAACCTGGGCAACAAGAGCAAAACTGCCTCAACAACAACAAAAAGATGAAAAGTGGCAGAGTTTAACTGAACGACCCCCATCTTTCCTTTTCTGGATCCCCAGCCTCCCTTCGCCTGCTCTCTCAAATGCTCCTGCCCCTTCTTCGGTCACCTCTTTTCCCATGAAAACTAAAGTTACACTGGTGCATGAAAAGACTGATGGAAGAGAGAGGAGTTTGAGGAGGAAAGTAAATCTCAATATTCAACATGATTCCAAGAAAAATCATTTCTAATATTAGTTTCTGGCTTTGTGCTTACCCAGAAAAAAAACTGAATTGCATTAGTCGATGTAGGGACTCTGACAAAAACAATTGTTTGCACAGAAACAGTTTTGTCACGATTTTGTAACACTTTACTGGTGTTGGCAAGGTAGTAAATCCAATTGCCAGATGCCCCACCAGTGAGTGCTCAGCTGGCATAAATTTACAGGTTCTGGCATCTTTACCCTCTTCTTGTTTGCAAGTATTTTCCCATTTTGCCTGGTGTAGTGATTAATTCTGAACTTGGTTATAGCTCATGACATCTGAAAACTTGATCATGCCTTCCTTCCCAAATTTGTTTGGTCCTTTCATTTTAATCTACTTATTTTAGCATAGTAATTATCTGTATGGATCATTTCTATGCTAAAATATGTCACATAATAATGTCACTTGCACAAGAGCCAGTCATGCCACAGGGCTAGCCTTAGTTTCAGCTCACTGTCTAGTTTGTCACAACTCCATCTCCCACAGGATGCTTCTTCAGCCTCTGTCATCTCTGCTGCCTGTTATGTGCTGTTGGAAACTTGCTGTGGCTTTTGTGTAATCCTGGACAAATAGGGGGCCTAACCTTATGGGGTGCTGTATGCCCAGTACCCAGACTGTGGAAAATGACAAGAGATCTTCAAGGACCTTCTTCCAGAGTCTGAACTAGGGAAAGATGCAAGGCTGAGTTACCTGAGCAGTTCCCATTTGGGCCTATCCGTGTGAGTTCTAAAAGATTCACCTTTGGAAAACGTGTGCCCCTAGGCACCAAGATAGATTCATTCCCTCGTATTTTGAACAAATATGCATTTTCAATAGAACTTGAGGTTACAGATTCAAGTTTCTCATAATCCTTGATTTCGGGTATGCTACCATCATTAGTCCAAGGGTGATCCTTTTAAATGTCCTATGTTTTAATATAATGAATATATATGAACTCATTACACAGCCCAAAAACCTCCAGCAGTAGCCACTGTTCTTAATTTAGTTTAGAAACTTAGATGAAATGATAAAGTTCTAAGAGGAAGAAAAAAAAAAACTTGCTTAACAATTTCAAAAATAAATAAGACTACTTATAGCCTGGCATGGTGGCTCACGCCTGTAATCCCAACACTTTGGGAGGCCAAGGTGGGCATATCACTTGAGCCCAGGAGTTTGAGATTAACCTGGACAACACAACAAAACCCTATCTCTACAAAAACTACAAAAACATTAGTCTCATGTGGCAGTGCATGCCTGTAGTCCCAGCAACTCAGGAGACTTGAGGTGGGAGAATCACCTGAGCCCAGGAGGTCAAGGCTGCACTAAGCCATGATGGTGCCACTGCACTCCAACCTGGACAACAGAGTGAGAACTGGTCTCAAAAAAAAGAGACTGAGCTCATGCCTGTAATCCTGGCACTTTGGGAGGTTGAGGTGGGCAGATGACATGAGGTCAGGAGTTCGAGACCAGCCTGAAACCCTGTCTCTACTAAAGATAAAAATACAAAAATTAGCCTGGCATGATGGTACACACCTGTAGTCCCAGCCACTCGGGAGCCTGAGACAGGAGAATCACTTGAACCCAGAAGGCAGAGGTTGCAGTGAGCTGAGCTTGCACCACTATACTCCAGCCTGGGTGACAGAATGAAACTCTTTCCAAAAAAAAAAAGAGAGAGAGAAAAGAAAAGTACTTATAAATTAAAATAACAACACTATTCCCTGAATATTTTTGTGATAATAAACTGATGTCATTTAAAATCTTCCCATGAGAAAAACAAGCCCAGAGGGATTTAAAGGAGAGTCCACCAAACTTTCAAGAACTAGATTGTTTCAGTCTCCTCTCTATCAGAGAAGAGAGCAAGAGGGAATATTTCCCTCATTTAAAAGGGATAATAACTACAGAGTGATTTCAGAGAAGAAATTTGTTCCTGTTCTCTGATTAATATTTACATAAAACTTTTTTTTTTTTTTGAGGTGCAGCCTCCTGAGTAGCTGGGACTACAGACACATACCACCATGCCCAGCTAATTTTTGTATTTTTTTAGTAGAGATGGGTTTTCGCCATGTTGGCCAGGCCGGTCTCAAAATCCTGACTTCAGGTGATACATCCATCCGCCTTGGCTTCCCAAAGTTCTGGGATTACAGGCATCAGCCACTGCACCTGGCCAATACATACATAAAACTCTTAAATAAAATATCAGCAAAACAAATGACAATAAATGAGAACCAGTTTGGATTTATCCCAGGAATATAAGGATGACAATAAATATTTCGTAAGCACCTACAGTGTGCCAGGTGCTCGTCTAGCTACGTGGGATGCAGGAGTGAAAGAGACAGGCCTGGACCCTACCCTCATGCAGTTTACCTAGAGTGGAAGATACTCAGTGCACACACATTTAAACAAGTAAGATTATTTTAGAGAATGGTAAGTACTATAGAGGAAATAAAATAGATTAATGTGATGGAGAATGACTGGAAGTAGCTACTTTAAATTAAGAAAGTGAGGTTTGCAAAGGGGAGGTGACCCTTGAAAAGAATGAGGACACAGCCAGATGAAAACCAAGGGATGAGAATTGCATGCAGACCGTACTGCAAGTGCAGAAGCCCTGAGTGCAGATGAGGTCCAGCCCGTGAGCGTGATTATGCTGTCTGCCTGACTGGGATGTGCCTGGTTTACAAAACCTGAAGGGGTTTCCTTAACATAGACTTTAAAAAGCAATTTGTTAAGAAACACAGATTGGGCACGGTGGCC